GATCAAAATTGAAATTTTTGTTTTAAAATAAAATTTTAAATTTAATTTTTGAAAAAAATTTAATTTTTAAAAAAGAAAAAAAAACTATAAATTTTTAAAAAAAAAAAATTTTTAAATTATCAAAAATGCATTTTGGTTATTTTTTTATAATGGAAAAAAAACAAATACATTTTAAATTAAATTTATTTTAAATTTTCATTTTTTATTTAATTTTCAAGAATTTAGTTTAAATATATAATTTTAATTTTTTTTATATATGTTTATTTAAGAAATTATTTTTTAATAAAATTGAAATTGTTAAATATAACCAAATATTCATTTATTCCAATTAATTAATTATATTTATAATTAATTATATAAATTTAAATATTTTTAGTTTTAAATTCATTTTAAATTAAATAAAGGTTTTAAAAATTCAATCAACATTTGGCAAAAAAATTTTCAAAAATTATAATTTTTCAAAAATTTTCATAATTCTTTTGAAAATTATTTATTTATTGAAAAATATTAATATAAATATATATAATTTTTCTTTTTTTTATGGAATTAAGTTAATTTTGAAAAATTCTTAAAAATGAAAAAAAATAATTAATTAATATTTAAAATGTTTGTGTAATTTTCTTTATATAATAATCCTTTTTTATATATATATATATATATATATTATATATATATACAATGGATAAATGGATAAATTGTTTTTTTTTTTTTTTTATTTTTTATTTTTTTTGTTTTTTTTTTTTTTTGTCAACTGCACAGTATAGTAGGGTCAGTTGGGCACCATCTGTGAGAAAAAGAGCACCATGATGCAATTCACTCCATCAGAAATTTGGAAATGTCATATTGTACTACTTGTAATTCACACTGGAAGCTCCAATATGAAGATTTCAGAGAGTTTGGGTGTCAATCTGAGGACAGTGCAGAGGATTTGGAAAGAGTTGGATGAGTATAATGGTGATTATGATGGTGTTTGGAGTGATCACTAGTGATGGTTCTGATAAAAAATGCTCCATTCATTTTCCCACAGGGCCTCAGACTCAACACGGAGGCCTACATCAAGTGCCTTGAGGAGGTATTGCTGCCCTGGGTCAAGAGGGTGGCTGCTGGAAGACCCTATGTCTGGCAACAGGACTCTGCACCAAGCCACACGTAGAAGAACCCAGTCATGGCTGTCAGACAATTTCCATGACCACATCACCCCTTACATCTGGCCACCTAACTCCCCAGACTGCAACCCCTTGATTATTATGTGTGGGGCACAGTTGAGCAAGAGACCAACAAAACTCCTTGTAACACCAAAGATGAACTGAAGGCAAGGATTATGGCAGCATTCACCAACTTAAACAAGGAGACTGTCCAGAAGAGTTGCAGGAGATTCCAAAGTCATCTGAAGAAAAGAAAGCCAACTCTTGATTGCCTATTGAGAAATTCACTTGATAGAACATCTTTAGGTTTTTTAAATTATTTTTCAATTTGGAAATTGTCAAAACGTTGAAAATGCAAATTACAAAAATCATATGCAGCCACTATTAATTAATGCCAAAATTTCTCCCACATCATTATTAAAATGCTGCAACAATTTGCAACTCTGTCAATGCCTCAACTTAAAAACATTAATTCATTCATGTTTCAACCAAAAGGCTCAATACAAACAAAATTCAGGAGAATCAATTGGACTGTTGAATTTCTTTTCAAATACCTTCAAATTAAATAAATTCAACTGAAATGGATTTGAAAAATTTATATTATATTTAAAAATATAAGGTACCATTTGGATAAAATGAATTTCATCAGAAATCTGATCTACAGACAAATTTACAAACATTTTTATCTGTTAATTTCTTTTTTTATTATTTTGGAAAATGTACATTATTTACATTAAATTTAACTATTGTCCTATCTTTTCACCATATTTAAAAAAATTTTTGGCTATATTTAGACTAAAGTCCTTCAGGTAGTTGGAATGTCAACTGAATATTTTATTTCACTCAAAGGTAGACTGTTCTATGGAATCATTTTGAATCATGGAAAAGAAAGAATTGGAAAATTTTAAATTAATTTTCTAATATATATGTACAGTAAAATAAAAATATAAAAATGTTATTAATGACTAAATATATAAATGGATCAAAAGATTTTTACTTTGGCATAAAGGAAAATTTTTTCATTTTTATGTTTAACAGGTTTAAAGAGTATATTTTGTTTAATTTTAACTAAAAATATTCCATGTTTACAAAATTTTTTTTAATTAACATGGTTGTCAGATATAAACATATTTATATATTATATATAAATAGTATAGTAAATATATTATATATAAAATAAATTATTCATTTTTATATTCTAAATAACTGATTTGTTGGCTTTTATTTGGAAACATATGACAAGAAATTGTTTAAAATGGTAATTTGGATAAGGACAATTATTGAAATAATTTTAATTTATAAACTTTTTTCATGCCAAAAAGTTTTTTTAATGTAAATGTTTTTGCCTGGAATAATAAAACTAATTAAAAGGTTAAAAACCAAAGGAAATCTATTTTCTTTTCTACACCCAGTTCAATTGATAAGAGACTTGGAATAAAATTTAACTAAATCATTCTGAAATGGACTCTTTTATGTTTATTTCTACAATATTTAAATGGACACAGAATTGCTCTTTATTTTTGCCTTTTATCCAAACAAAAACCAGTTGTGCAAATCATTTTCTATTTCTATAAAAATAAATACAATTTTGATGTTTCATTATAAATGTTCCTTAAAATACATTGAAAAAATGTAAATAAGGTTTAATTGTCAATGAATTTTAGAGAAAAATATGGTTTGTTATGAAATAAATGACAGAACTTTTTCTAAAAAGAATTTTAAAAGTTTGATGTTAAAAATTTTAATAAATTTTTTTGACAAAAACTAAATTTTAAAAAAAAAAAAACAATATAATACAAAAAAAATTAAAATTAATAAGGCAAAGAAACAATATGAATTAAAAACTTCACAAACTAAATATTGGGGTTTGAAAATACATTTTGAATTTGATTTATGTTCAGTTTTTCAAACAGATGAAATTGCTAACTGAAAAATTTTATTGGCTACTATTTATTTGAGGAAAATTTTCAATTTTCATATCAATGATTAATGTTTAAATTGATAGATATAACCATCTGCCATCATTCTGATTGAAAAATAAAATTGACAAAGATTATTTTTTAAGGTTGACGAACACATTGAAGCTTAATTAGTTTTTTGTCTTGTAAATGGGTTTTTAAAGCATTCTGAATGTAAAAAAAAAGAAAAGTGTGCAAAACAATAATTAAAAACTTTTCTGCAGTTTTCAAAGTGAAGTTTTTTCATTGAAATTGGTTGAAAAATGTAGATATGATCAAATATATAAACAATTTGATGACAAATAACAACCTTAATTTATACTAAGTATAACTTTATATATGAGTTGTCCCCTTTTCATTCTCTTTTTAATTTTGCCTCTTAATCATGTTTTTTAAATTGATTTTTTGCAAAAACAATTTTTTTTTTATTTTTTTGATTTCAAAATTTCATTCTAAAGCGCAAAGGTAATTTTACATAGTCCTGTGAAGTTTTGTTGAAATTTGTTAAAAATTTGAAAATCTCCAATATATAAATGTATTTTTTTTCACACAAACAACCTGGGTTTTTATAATAAGTATGATTTTTTTTATTTATATGGAAAAATCAAATTCTGTTTAAAATTGGATTGGATTTGTATTTTGTAGTCTTTCCATAACAATTGGAATTTTAATTTTATTCATTTTTCATTGATAAATTTTTTTCTTTATTATGAAATTAATTTTGAATAATAGTCAGGATACAAAAAAAATTTAAAACATAAATTTTTTAAAATAATAAAAACAAATTGTTTTGTATCTTTTGTTGAGTTGTTAGACTAATATATTTTTTTAATACAATGGTTTTTTACCTTCTGAAATGTTTTATAATCATGCAAAAAAATAGGGTATTTTAAAAATCATGGAAATTTCAAAAATGGGAAAACATTAAATTAAAATTATGCCTTATTAAAAAAATTTGGTGAAAGAAAACCAACTTTATTAAAGGGTACTGTGAGTTGATTTCTAATCAAATTTTTATTATTAAAATGATAATCAAAAAAAAATTCAATTCAAATTTTTTTCTTTTTTTGTTTTTTTCTTAAATATATTAACAATTTAAAAAACATTTTAGTAATGCAAGAAATATTTGAATTATGATACAAAATTTTATTTTTGCATCTTTGAAAATCTCTAATTGATGAACCAAATGGAAAAATGTTGAAATTTATGTTAATATTGTATTTTTATATTCTAAATTTTAATTAATTTTCAGAAGTTTGAATTTAATTTTATTTTTATTCTTCAATGATGCATTAATTTCACCACAAAAAATTCTTTCTCACAGAAAAAAATGTTGCAAGTTTTGTTATTCTAAAGGTATTTTGTTAAAAAAAAATTTGACAATCTACATTCCTTTTTTTTTTTTTAAAAGACTCAAATGACCATTTATTTCAAATTAATCATCCTCTTCATTTAGATTCCATGCCAAATTTTCCAAGGAATTTCTAAAAAAAATAAAAAAAAAAAAAAGCATATTTGAATAAGAAGAAATTTAAAAATTTTTTTCACTAAAACCATAAAATGCATTTCAAATTCTCCATTTCAATATGTTTTCTGCTTTTAATCTAAAAATCTGATTTTGTAACCCTTTAATTTGATTTTCTTTGAAAATATAAACAACAATAAAAAAAAAATTAAAATGCTGTCAAAAATTAATTGGTGTCAACATTTGTTTATTCAAAATGTTAAATTTTGTTTCTTTTCATTTTTTTTTTAATATATTTAAAATGGTTTTTTAAAAGTATTATTATTATTTCTTAAAATTTTCGGCAAAATAGAATGATATAGTCAACCTGAGTTCTGGTGATCTGGATAAATGCCAAGTCAGTTTATTTGAAAAATGAAAAAAACAATTTAGAATGATGCTGCTACCATTGTAAGTACTTTTTTTTTTTTTGTCTCTCTTTTGTCAAATAAAAATTTTTTTTTTTCATCTTTTTTCAAATCTTTTTAAATATTATTTGATACGTATATTATTTGCATGGAAGAAAAATTGTTTTTTATTTTTGGATTTCAACAATGAATTTTGAAAATTCAACTTATACCACCAAAGTTTATTTTTTTTTTTTGCAAATTTTTCAAACAAATCAAGATGATAAGAAAAAGATATAAAAAAATAGTGTTTAAAATTTAATGCTTTATTTATTTAATTAATTGCATTTATATTTCCATACACTTTAGGAATCTGTCGGTGGGTTTTTATTAAAAAAATATGTTTATTTGTACATTTGAGTTCGGGTGGATAAAAAAAAAAAACTGAAAAGTTAGCATTCTGTCCAACCAAAATGTCTCATCCCCACCAAATAAAATAAGTAAATAAATAAATTATATGCTTGGTCTTTCGGTCAAGTTTTAGGAAATGAAGCATTTTTTTTTGCATTACCAACCATACAATCTGCATAGTTAAAAAAAAAAAAAAATGATTGAAACTTTATTTTAATCTTGAATCTCATGATTTTTGTATAAAAGAGTATTAGATTTTTATATTTTTCAACAATTATATTTTTAATTTTTATGATAACCTCCATTTTAAAATTCAATGTTTATATGTTTTTTTTAAATTTCAAATTATTTTTAAATATGGAAAGAAAGGAAAAATATTTTTTTTTATTCATATTTGTTTATTACCATACATGATTTTTATTACTTAAACATTATTTTTAGTGGATGCTCATATTTATATCAATCCTCCATTTATTTATTAAACAGTATATTCATTTATTTTCAGTCTGACTATTTGAGAAACCATATTAGAAGAAAATATGCACTCTCTGACAGGATTTGAACCTGCGTCCCCCTAGGGGAAACTCATTATATCTGACATGCTTTGACCTCTCAGCTACAGAGTGAGTTGATGACCAAGCAAAGCTGAATAGAGCCTTTAAACACAGATATTTCACTGACGCTTGAAACAGACATATCTGCTCTGTTTTGTATTCTAATATAAACAAAGCAATTTGTAAAGAAGGAATGTATTTTTTTTATTTATTAATCCATCAATTTTTTATTACTTCAACGTCATTTTTAGTGGATACTTGTATTAGAGTAGATGCCCCATTATTTATTAAACAATATGTTTATTTACTGGCCTATTCAACTTGATCATCAATGCACTCTGTAGCCGAGAAGTCAATGCATGTCAGATCTAGTGATAATTTCCCCCTAGGGGAACACGGGTTTGATTCCTGCTGGAGAGTGAATAATTTTCTCTAATAAGATTTCTTGAATATTCCCACCCAGGTGGAAAAAACTGTTAGCATAGAACTTATGGTTACATCTAGCCATTTCAACTGTAAAATGATGAGATTTTGGCACCAGTCTAGTACTGTGCTTAAATTCATAAAGTCTAGGTACAATAGAAAAAAGTCCATTACAACAATTACCATAAAAGTGATTATAGAAAACGCACAGGAAATCTATGTAATGAGGGTGAGAAAGTGACTGAAACTGAGATGCCAGGTCATGACCAATAACATTGCAGATTCTTATTTGGATTTTATCAAGAATCTCTAAATATATAGCAGAAGTACCAGAACAGTAATATTCAAAACATAAACAAATAGTAGACTATGTAAGATAGATTTTGGAAAGAAAAATTGTCTTGTACATCATAGTGAACCAACCTTATTAGCATCAGGCGTAGCAATCGTTCCACTTCATGTCAGCAGAAAATGCAAAGAGTCACTTTCCTGGAGATTAGCATCAGCCATGCTGATGGAAGGCAAAAACAGTTCTCTCAGATGATTAAAAGAGAGCAATTTTGTTTTGAAGGCATTAAAATTAACAAACCATTCCTTACCCCAGTTAACAACAGATTGTAGATCATTTTTGAGATCAGCTGCTAATTTGACTATATTAAACCAATCAGATTTACTATTAAGACATTTTATATTAGTAAAAATTAAGATTATCTCAGTCCTCATCAAGAACTGGGTGTTTTCAGTATTGTAGACAATATTTCTTTTTTATTAAAAATTTTTAAATTGCTGGAATTGGAATAAGTTCAAAGTGAATTTATACATAACTGTTAAGCAGAAATGCATGCATTGAATATATATATATATATATATATATATATATATATATTTATATATGATGTCAATGAATACTCGTCATTTTCGTAATGCTCATTGTAGTAGAGACTTTGTAATTGCAGATACAACTATAGTAATGCAGTTGAACAATACTGGGTCAGATGTTTTCGAATAACACTTGCACTAATAGTACTTACTCGATAATGCTTGCTCAAAAAGTAACCACTGAATAGTGATCCGTGTAGTGATCTGTATAGTGAAGATTATAACGATCTGTATAGTAATAGAGCATAGTCTAGAAATAGTGATCAATTAAGCACCACACTAATTCCCATATATACATTTCTTTGCCATCACCTGATCTACTTATTCAAAATGGGATCGCCTGTGTTTGTTCTCTGGTGATCTGTGTTCAAACTCCAGTGTCAGTAGCGACACTTTATTCCTATATAACAATATACTTGTTTTTTTTTTTTTTTTCATAACACTTAATGGTATTTGATGCATGCCTTTCTATTTAACCATTACATATGATGTCACTTTGAACTGATTCTAATTCCAGTGATCTAAAAACTACAGGATTTAGTCAAAATTTGTTTACCATTCTGTTAACAGCCAGTTCTTGATAATGATTGAGTTAGTAAAAGAAAAAAAACATGAACAGAACAAAATAAAATCAACAATAAATTTTGGACAGTTTATTCATAATTTCAGTCCAGATAAACATATTATTATTCAGAAATTGGAAAAATATAATGAAAAATTAAATAGACAGACTTTGTTGGTTGAATTTAACAAAATTCATGTGATGATGCATCACTTGTTTCTGCATCTTTGCAAGAGGCTCAGGAACTAGTAAGTTGTTTTTTTCCATTGCAAATAAAGCTTTTGGGCTTACCATTAGCATAAAAATTACTGAAGTTGTTTATCAAACATCACCCTTTCCCAAGCAGATAAAAGATATCAAACAAAACGTTCAGGTCATCAGTTTCTCATTCTGCTAAAAATAAAATTGAGGAAAACTTCTCAAATATGTTACAGCCTTTTCATGCTTTTAGAAGCATCTTAAATTTTTTACAATTCACTTGATGATGAAAATGTCTATTGAATAGCCAAAGCCTCTAACACATTTGGTAAACTTTGTTATCATATTTGGAATAAAAGAAGGTTTAAACTAGAAAAGAAAATCAGTTTGCAAAGCTGTTATTCTCACCATTTTCTAGTTGATCTGAATTTGTATTCCAATAAGACACACACACACTGTCCACACACACACAATTCACAAAATCACATAGGAAACATTTTTTCACTCATAAAACTGTGGAAAAAAAAGATTCCAAGTTCATCGATCTGTTTTTTTAAATTTTTTATAGGGATGCAATCTCAATTGTGATGGGCTCTTATGCTATCATATGAGCAAACTTTCTTACCAAAAGTGTCCTCATTTTTTTTTTTTGTACAGAGTAACAAAAGAAACATAGGTAGGTATAAAGACAAGAGCAATTTTTTCAACTTGACCTTGAAAAATGACAGATGTTCAATATCAGATTTTTTTTGGACTGAAAAGAGTGCCGTCACAATGGGATTGAAGCATTTGAACTTAGATGCCTCCTGCATCTGAAAAAAAAACCAAAAAATACAATCAGCAGAAAGAGAATGCATCATAATCACAATCTTGTCCCCCACTCTGGTTGAATCTGATCAATATTTGAAAGTTATTATTCAAAATACATAAACATTTATTGACTAACATATAGACTTTTTACACAAAAAAAAACCCCAATTTGTTCAAAGATATAAACAAAGTTATACCATTATAACAACACACACACACACAATCTGTAAATGTAATTTGAACACTAAAAAAAACACTGAATTGCTTGCATTGCATACGAGAAGAGCCTTTGCAGTTCATCAGGCTGCCAGACGATTGAAATCAGGATGATGTAAAAATCTTCACCTCTTGTGTTGACTTGCTTGTTCAGTTATATTTATTGTCAAGAGTGATGAAGCATAAAATTCCATAATTGAAAATTATTTTTTCAATATAGAGAATTTTATATGTATAGGATTTATCTTGGACATCTATTTTGTTTCTTTATGTAATGTATAACTTCAGAAATATATGTATATATATATTTATTTCGATAAAATGTATGTATGTGTAAATATATGTGCATTGATATATATATGTATTATATATGTATTTATATATATGTATATATTAAATTTGTATGTATATATATGTATATATATATATCTGTATAAGAAAATGGACAGGAAAATAATTATAGTTATAATATATATGATTATAAGAATAATATAAAAAAAGTTCTTTTTGAAGAACTAAGGATAAAGATGAAATATTTAGCAATCCATTTTCACTAAGAACCAAAAGATCAAAACAGTAAATTCTTAAGTTATATTTCTTGAATTTACAGCGTTTTTTTATAAATAAAAATTCCGATTGGTAAATTTATATAACGTTCTAGTAATTTTATTAGTATAGCTTTTCCTTTTAAAATAAAAGATTAAAAATCTAAAATATTTGGGATTTGATATTTGTAAGTTTTAAATTAACGGTATTATAATGATTGTAACTATGTATGTCCATGGAAGAAAATATTCCCAGATTAAACTTGATGAAAGCAGGATAAATCAAAAAAATAACAATGTAAAATTTGCAAACATTTGCATATGTAAAAAAAAACAAGATAAAATGTTAATCAACATAAGAAATTAAAAAATTTGATAATTTCTATCTGAAACAAGAAAATGTTTTCATTTTACAATATTCATAATATCACTATAAAAAAAACAAAACTGAAAAAAGTCAATAAAT